CACAGCGGCGAGTCGGCACCTGCACCCCAGGGTCCGTGGAGGAAGGCGGCCAGGTCTGGGCGGTGCCCCCAGTGTTTTGTGCAGGGCCCCGTAACCCTGGCTCTGTGTTCAGCGTTGGGGTTTCAAAGATTCTAACACGACCATTTCAAATGCGGCGGAAACGCCTCCCCCAGCACACGCCAGTTTGCGGTGCTAGCCAGCCCCGCTGCCAGCCCCTCCTTTCCCGGGGGGCGGGCGGGGGCTTTCAGAGCCCCACACTGGCACGGCTCAGGCAGAACGGGGGCCCCACGGGCACAGCAGCATCGCAGCCCAGCCCCCGCGCTCTGTTCGCTGCAGCCTGCCCCCCTGCCTCCGTGAGCTGGGCTCACCCCTTCGCGTCCCCAGGGCCCATGGCCACAGTGCAACGGAAGCTGAATGGATCTGCCCCAGGCCAGCCCCAGCCTTCCTTCTGCTCCACAGATCCAGCTCCGGGTCGTTAGGGCCAGCCGGTCCCGCCCAGGGCCCTGGTGTGCAGCCAGTGGTAATAAACGAGGGTGTTCAGAGCTGACGCGCCCAGAGGTGCCAGGGTTCAGCCCAAGTGCACACGCCACGCCCTGCCTGCAGCCAGCACGGCCAGGTGGTCGGCCGGGGAGCAGGGTGGCTGCCCCAGCCACGGGTGCCAGGGGACGGGTCTCCAGGCTGCTCAAGCACGGCCAGGCTCACGCTGCAACGGGGGCTCTGCTCTGGGATTACAGCTTAACCCAGCCGCTCCGCAGCCCTGGGGCACAGGGGGGTGTCGCCAAGGCGGGAGCTCAGCCACCGTCGCTCTGCAGCCCCTGCTGGCACCAGGGAGGGCAAAAGGTTTCTCTGCTTCCCACCCACCACCCTCAGCTCTTCCTGGGCTGGGACTTGGGGAAAGGGGCTAACCTGCCCCTGCTCCCACCTCTCCTGCCAACCTTCGATGGGCCTCTCTGCAGCACCGGGGAGAACCAGCAGCCTCTGCCCCCACGGGGCAGGACCAGCAGCCAAGGAAAGTGCGTAAGCCACAAAACCAGTTACCCAGCCTGCTTGGGACAGGGAAGCCGGAGCTGCCTCCTCCAGGCGCCTCCTCCCGTTCCCTGGAGCCCCGGCAGGGAGGGCGTGCGGCACGAGGCAGGGTGGTCTCCCACAGCACCTGCTCCGGAAAGCAAACCCCCTTCCCTGCACTGGACGTACCCGTGGAGGCCATTAGCTCCTGGAGTACCCGCCTCTGGCTGTGGTGGGGGAGGCCAGGCCCTGGCCACCGCACTAAATAGCTCGCGATGTCGGGGATCCGCAGCAGCACGGTCGCCCTCCTTACGGGCATGTTGCAAACACGGGGCTGGACTTTATTTTTCTCCTGGCAAAGGGCGGAGGCTGCTGTGCGGAGCAAAGGGCCATGTGTACATAGCAGGCTGCGTGTGCGTGTGCGTGTGCGTGTGCGTGCCGCTACCGAATGCTTCTCGCCTGTGCAATATATCCCTATTTTTATATTTGTAATGCTAGTGCGGCAAGCCCCGGCTCATCGCAGGCCCAGCGGGAGGGGCCTGGGGGCTTCTGCGCTGGCTCTGGGCGATGGAGCCGTGCTTAGCAGTGGTTTGTCTGATGGAAGCGCTCTGTGGATTGATGGATGTGTCTCTTGTAATATTGCCAGTGAGGGGGCGGGCAGGGGGCTGCAGGGGATGCAGTCGGACCACACACAGCTGTGGCTCACAAGCCCAAGGCGGTTTTTGCTCCTGTCCCATTTCCGTTCAAGGAAGGTTTTTCTAGTACGTAAGAATCCCCCCTCTCCGAACGCCAGCGTCCAAGGCCTGCACATTTGGCTTCAGTTCTGTACTAATTCTTGCTTAAGACAGCAACTTTGTCCCTTCCCAGCGAGGGTTCTCTTCCTACTCCACCCTGCAGGCGTCTCCTCTGGGGACGTGTCACGTGGTCCCGGCCACAGCACGAGGTGGAGCGAGACCATCCTGGCGAGGGAGAAAGTACCAGAGCAGCCTGGGCAGGGGGAGGCGCTCGGCTAAGCACGAACACCCGGGCTTTCAGCCCAGCAAAGCCGGCAGCCGAGGACTAGCTATTTGTAGGAACGTTTGCACAGCTTGGGAACGGCTTGTTCAGAGCTTTGTTAAGGAGCTCGGGGTTTAACCTGTCACCAGCTGGCCCAGCAAGGTAAAGGCGAGGGTTCGGGTCCACAATGTACCTCCCCACAGCAGCTCTATCGCCTGACAGCAGGGCAGGGGTAGCTGGGAAGGAACCTGACCCCTCACACGGGTGGGGGCAAACCTCTCAGTGGTGCGGACCTCTCACCTGCTCGTGGGCGCCAGGGGTGGAGAGCTGGTGAGAGCAGCATTTCCGGAAACCTTCCCCGTGCGCGGTGCAAGAGCAATTCCACTGGCAGCATGAGCCAGAGGCAAGACTGGGGCTGGGCCAGGGGCTGGACCGATGACTCCAGAGGTCTCCTCCAGCCCTGGGATTCTCTGACCGCAGGGCCGCCCTCTCTCCTGAAGGCGAGTCATTGACCATCCGCAGGCTCAGCTGATTCCATTACCTGACCCGCGCCCGAGGGAGGGCAGGGGAGAACTGGAAGGGACTGAGGCGAGGGGGGAGGAAAGCGGAGGCAGAGAAGGGGGCTCCGGCTTGACGAGGATCAACCCCCCTTAAAGCGCAAGGGCTCCCCAGCCGCAGGGCAGGGCCTGGCCCGCGGGGGACAGCCAGTAGCATAAAGAAGGACACGTGCGGGGCGGGGGTGTTACCGTGGCCCGAGGGAGGGCAGGGGAGAACTGGAAGGGACTGAGGCGAGGGGGGAGGAAAGCGGAGGCAGAGAAGGGGGCTCCGGCTTGACGAGGATCAACCCCCCTTAAAGCGCAAGGGCTCCCCAGCCGCAGGGCAGGGCCTGGCCCGCGGGGGACAGCCAGTAGCATAAAGAAGGACACGTGCGGGGCGGGGGTGTTACCGTGGCCTTTCGGCTTCAGTCTCCCCTGTAGGAAGCAGCACGGCGGCCCTGGCGTGAGGCACGAGCCAGCAATAGAATGGCTCGCCCCCACGTGCTCTAGGAGCCTGCTTTGCAGCTAGTTGCGGTGCTGGTGAGCCAGTTGGGCGCCAGGATATTGGGGGGGGTTTCTTAGTGGACCCACTCGTGTTGGTGAGACGTTTTTGCCCGTGTGCAGAGCGGTGCGGCCCCGTG